AGAGAGAGAGAGAGAGAGAGAGAGAGAGAGAGAGAGAGAGACGATAACTCTCCGACCTCGCGGCTCCCGCCATGCTGCTTCCATCGATAGGATGAGCAACATCCAATGAATCTTCGGCTAGAACATGGAAACATACACTTCCTGGTGGAATCTTTGTCGCTCCGGCCACCCCCCCTTTCGGCCCTCTCCCCCCTCGCTCCACGCGCGGGCCTCCCTGCCCGGCTCCTGCATCACGCGAGGACCGGTTTTCCCTTTAGGGTATAAGAGAGATATATATAGAGATAGAGCGAGTCATGCGAGGCCCACAAAATGCTTTGATTTCCATCTCTTCCAGTTGTGTGCTGAATTGCGTAACTTCATTTGGGACGAGAAGTTGGTTTGATGTCTCAGCAATTCTTCTTTCTCTTCTCCTTCTCCTCTGCGTCTTTCGCTTCTTTTTCAGCCTCTACTTCACAAGTGCTGTTGCAATTCTTCTCTCTTCTTCTCCCTCTACACAGAATAGACAGAATGAGAAGCAGGAGAAAAAGAAACAAAAGCAAGTATCCTGTGCCTGGCAGTGTACACAGAATGAGAGGTCCCTGTCCCCAACAGTGTACACAGAATGAGAGTGGCTCCGAGTATGTGCCACACATCTTTTTTTGGGGAAGCAAGGTCACCTGGCAGAATCATTGCGACAAAACAGTACTAGTTCACACCAGCCCACATGGGACCCATATGTGACCTTCAGCACCACCACTCTGATCACTTTGCTGCCCGATCAACTTGCCGTCAGCAAAGTATAGGGAAACCAAATGGATGGCCACAATTCATCGCCCTAACTGAGTGACATGTCACTTGCCTTCGGTGTGGGAACTACTGTGAGCAAAATTCAACTTTAGAAGGGAAACAAAGACCGTACCCAACTCTATCACAACTTCGCAGGAATTGCCATTCATTCATCATAGGGAAGCAGTACAGGTTTTGTAGTAATGGAGAGAAGGCCTCAGGAGCAAACCTGCTGAAGAAGGTCGCCCACATGGAAATCAATAGCCTCGAGTGTCAGATGACCAGCTTCAATCTTGGAGAAGTCCAGGATCTCGTTCAACACGTACATTAATCCTTCTGCAGAGCCTTGCAGTACTTTGACCAGTCGGGACTGCTCAGTTGTCAGGGGTGTGAGGCGCAGTAGTTCTACCATTCCCAGTACACCTGGACAGAGGAGGAGAAACACCCATCGTATGACATGATGGGTACAAAATTAACCATGTCAGAGAATGAGGAGAGCGAGCATCGATGCAACACAATGTAGTTGCACTTTCAGCTGTGAAGTGTTGTATTGTCAAAAGAATGATTACGCCAACAGAATCACAATGCGCATGGGAAAGGAACTAACCACCATCCATGAGAGTTTTTCACAGGGCATTTTTTGCATCTGGTGCGTACCTGTCATTGGTGTGCGAAGCTCATGGCTCATCATAGCAAGGAACTGACTCTTTGCCCTATCAGCAGCCTGAATGGCTTCCTGAGCGTCCCTCTCTGTTGTGATATCATCAAAGAGCCAGATCCTGCCATGTGTAACTTGGCTGGACACTGGGTACGAGCGCACTTTCAGAACACATCGTGGATTCTTCAACTCCCAGTAATCCTCCACCTCCTTGTTGGGGTCCCCAGCTACAGAGTTAAACCACCTGCCATCCAGTATAAAGCACATATGCAAGGAATCAATCAACGGGGACACAAATTTTGTGAGCAGCAAAAGACTGAAATCAGAACAATCGTATAAGAGCAAATTCACAAGACTTGGTTTGTGTACTTTTAGGGAAAGGATTTCTCTGCAGTTTTTTATCACCACCAACCAGAAAAGAGTTAGTGATGGGTTTAAGGGAAGGGGCAAGCCTCTTGGGCATTGCCTTGTTCCTATCTTCGGGAGAGATTGTTAACGGAGGCCTAAATTTTCAGACAGTTTGTCATGCCACTTACAAGAAAACCCGAAGGCTCTTTTAAGTTTTAACCAAATTTGCCACCAATTCATGGAGTGGAGTCAGTGGACACCATATTAACGAGCAGGTTAGTAGGAGCCAAAAAAGCAACCGAAAGAAAGACGTAAAAAATAAAAATAAAAAACTGATAAAATTGGAGGGCAAAAGTGCTCTTTCATGCAAAATTTCACCAGCATTTCAGTTTCAGAAAATTTCAGAAATTTGAGAAATGTCAACGGAGCTAGATCTCCAGAGTGGACCAAGACCACTTGCCTGACTGGGCCTCAAAAATAAAAATAAATAAATAAATAAATATTAAAATATATATATCGTCATATATATTGTCACATAACTATGAACTAAAAGAGCACAATTTAGGACCAGCAAATTTTGTTTTTTTCGAAGTGGAAAAAAACTACGCTATGCAGACACATAAACTGAACAGTTTTTGCCTCAGGGTCACATGACTCGCATTGTGGTAACAAATTTCAATGCCAGTCATGTGACCCTGAGGCAAAAACTGTTCAGTTTATGTGTCTGCATCAGTGCTGGGCCGGCAACCGGCCGGTTGAGCTACCCCGGTCCAACCGGAGCCGGACCAGACCAGGGGGGGTGAACCGGGAAACCGGTTTTGAAAAAAAAAGTGCCCAAATATCTTYTTTTTTTTTTTTCTTGGGCAGATTCCGACTGCGCTCTTCAAGAGCTGTCCGAATCCGCAATAAAATTTTTAAGGTAGAACATTTTTCAGGGGGCTTCACGAGGGGGGAAGGGGGTTATCATTGACATATTCAGGCAACTACGGCTTCCTCAGGGAGAGGTCAAGTAAGCAAGTTCACTTATCCGACCCCCCCGTCGCTGGAGCACTTCGTGGAGTATGTCATTTGATATTGATACCCCACGAGCTGAACCAGATATGATGAGAGGAGGCCCTTGCCCGAAATTATAGCTCTTCCAGAGTATATTTCGACAGCAGAAAAGTTATCGTTCCAGCTTTCTGCTCGTGGAGGCAGAGCGTTTTCTGTTTGTTGGTTCCTACATAAGGTGAGTTGTCAGTCCGGAAGTATCTTGTCTGGCAGTCTGTCCAGATACATGTAG